TGATCCTCCGCATCACTTCAATATGATCCTCCGCATCACTTCAATATGATCCTCCGCATCACTTCAGCATGTTCTTCTTCTTCATTTAGTTTTTACTACAATCTCTTGATCTATTGTCATGTCTTCATTTTTGGGTGCTTCAAATCCTTTTCTATATGCTCCGTTTTACTCCAACTTCCTTTATCCTCACTCAGTATTAGTGTGCTGTTATTTGTCTACATGTATTTCGTTCAATTCCACCTGCTTAACTTCGATTTCTCTCAGCTTCTTGGGCCTAATGTCATCTGTCTACAACTTTTTAGTAAAATCTCTTGGTCTATTGTCATGTGCGCATGTTTGTGCGCTTCAAATCCTTTACTGTTTGCTCTGCTGTACTCATTTCTTTCAGTATTCCTGTGTTGTCATCTTTCTACACGTTTGTTTTCTTGAATTCCTTTATGTATTCAACATTCTTCACTCCAATTTATCTCAGTTTCTTTTTACCTAAAGTCATCTGTCTACGACTTTGTTTCCATCAAATCATTTATCCTTCTCTCCGTTTCACGTTAGCCTACCTCGACCTCGTTGAGCTTGTCTATTCTGTAGTCATCTGACAACGTGTTATTTTCTTCAAATCGTTTAATTTTCCCTCCTATTCGCGTTTACTTCCCTCATTCCGCATTCTCCTGACATTAATCAGTCAAGGTGTTAGATTCTTGCAAATACTTAAGAATTCCACCTACTTCAGTTCAGTTTCCCTCAGCTCCTTTCGGCCCTCGCCTGGTGTCGTCTGTCTATGGCTTCGTTTTCGTCAAAACCCTTTTGTCTCTCTTTCCGCTTCACATCAGCTTCTTTCACCTTCATAGATTCTCAGTCTTTTCTATAGCCATCTGGCAAAGTGTTGATTTCTTCAAATACTTTCTCTTCTCTCTCCTCTCTTCAGATACCCTCAGCTTCATTGAGCCTTCACTGTGTCCCATTAGTCTTTGTTTCTATTCTATTGTTTAGATACAAAGTTATTTTGCAAACAAACGTAAAGAAAAACCTTGATGCCCTGCTCAAGTACATATTAGTCATAAATACGTTTCCCGAAACACAAACATAAATTGAAAATAGAGCTCTGCAAACACTTTTGATACCTGGAAATGCACATTTAGCTACGTCACCTGAAAAGAGTCTCTTAAAAGATTAAACAAAATCAACGTAGTACGTTCTTTTAATTTTTGTGCGAAAACACTTGGAAACTTCAAAGAACTTCATTTCTCACAGGTGAATCTTAGTCCAACTATGTTGCGTTGGAAATGCGCCAACTCAGCATTATGGTAAATACATTTTCAGAGAAGACGTATTATTTCAATAGATACAAGCTATTTTTAAACCAGATATTATGTCAACAATGTAAAGTACGACACAAGGCAGCGAAAGTATTTAACTGATCGAATCTGCAAAACGAAACCTTACTTGATCCTTTGTATTAGAGTTATTTATAAAAATGTTAAAAATAAATCCTGACCATTTGCTCAATTGGAAACTTTTGAAATTGATTGCTTGCCTCAACTATAAAACTGTCAAAAACTCCCTTCAGACACATGAATAGTGACAATAGATAATAATAGATGAATTTCCAAAGTCCAAAGACGTGCTATTAGCATATACTGTAGAAAAAAATCACGTATATAAAATTGAGCATGAATATGACAGAGTGATTATTTTAGCAAAGGTAGATTATCCACGTTTCGGTAAAATGACGGACACATGACCTCATAGAATATACCGTCTCACGAACCAAATCTACCTAACGTCAGCATTACTCATATTACATTCATTTTGAGTTGCTGATCCGACAATCGATACTGATATCTCAAAACGTGCGTTCTTACTAGTCACTTAATGACACATGAATTTGTATGAAGTTCATTCTGCGGAGTAGTCAAATTTTCTAGATATGGCTAGTCGCACTTCACCGCAGCAATTAATGATTAAGAAATATTCCCGGCTATCCCGGCGATTGGCGTCTTTCAACGATGTGTATTTCCAAATGGTTCTCAGTAGTTCTCCGAAAAAGATCCCCTCACATCATTACTTATCACCTGAGATCTTACGAAGATCAGAGGTTCATGCGAGCTCAAGAAAAGAGATTATAAGGTAACATAACCTGTTGTTAGGGACAGCTGCATTAAAATAGTTTTTTCTAATTCAAAGAAAATTCTTTCCAAGTTCTCAACTCTAGTATAGTTAATCTCCCAACTTTTATTTAAATTCATAGCAGAGTCTATCTCTGGACCCCTACAAAGATTTGTAAAAAATTCTCCCGCTTAAGTCTTCATTGTAAGCATTTTGTAGTCTGGGAACCACTGTTCATTTGTTACTTTTTCATTTCCACCCTCGATTAAAACCGAAAGAAATTCTGACTTATTTACTTATGGTATTTATTAATAAAACGAAATGCTGGTATTATCTAACACACACCGCATTTGGCTATATTTGGCAATATTAAAATATATATTTTGAGAAATAAACCACGTCTATGTGGTACGCCAAATCGCCACATCGGGACTCGAATGTACATATTCCATAACAGTATTCATAAAAGTACATTAGTGATATAGTAGTACATACAGGCGTTAGGCTTTCAATACATAACCATATCAAAGTAAGCCGTGTAGTTCCTGAAAGTGGCCATCCGTACTTGCTACGCCAAAACGCCTCATCAACACATCGAATGTATTTATTCTAGATCATCGAGTCTTCATAAAAAGCATTATACATACAGGTATATAGTAAACATATTCTACTATTTACAGGTATGTAGTAAGCATACTACATACAGGTTTGTAGTAAACATACTACATTCAGGCGTTGTGCTATAAATACATGACCATACCAATTTAGCCCCTATATTTCGTGAAAGTTTCCCTCCCTACGTGTTACCCTAAATCGCCAAATCGACACGTCGAATGTATGCATTTACTAACGTACAAACTAGTATTTATAAATATACATTAGTAAGACACTACCCAGTGACGTTGTGCCATCAAAACATGCCCATATCAAAACAGTTCGCGAAGCTGCCCTCCCTACTCGCACCTGGCCGACCCGCATCGGCTGCGACGTCAGTGGGGCGGGAGCCCGGCGCGGGCGCGTGCCTTTATCCGGCATTGGGCCCGCCCCGCTGATCGCCTACCTACGTAATCCGCCACGACGGCGCGGCAGAACGCACCTCGGGTCGCGTCAACGGTCGCTGAATCTCTCTCTTGCGGGCGGGGCGGAGCGGAGCGGGGCGGGGCGGCGCGGCGCGCTTTTCCTGCTGTGGCGTGCTGACGTCAGCCCCGCCGCAGCTACATAAGAGCGGAAGAGCGCGCCTCCGCATCATCAGCGAGTCCGCCGCCGCCGCAGTCGTCGCTTCGCCTCCTGCGCTCAGCTCCGCTCCGCTCGCCTTGACGCCATGAAGAGCCCCTCCGCCTCCTCCGTGCTGCTGCTAGCGCTGGCAGTGGTTGCGCTGGCGCACGTGGGCCGCGCTGCCGTTGCTCTCGAGAAGGTCGTCGAGAATCCTAGTGAGTATACGGCATTGTTGATGTGCAGCTGGGGCGTGCATATTTAATTGTCAACGGGTTTGCATCATTGGATGTAGGAATGTAGAAGTCAAGAATTTATGCGTCGAATACGCTGATGTAACTCGAAATAATAATAATAATAATAATAATAATAATAATAATAATTTTTATTTGTTCATAGATACCCTTGCTTTAATTATTTCATTGAAAGAAAGACATGTGGTAATCAGGAAAATTTACATCAGTAGGTAGTTCAAATTTGTATGATTACATTTATTTAATTCTGGTAACGTTTCGTGTCTGTGTGTTCCACCTATTCACGCACAGGAATTAAGTCTTTAATCACGTGCAGCATAATGAGATTGTTTAAAAAGAGGTTAAAACTTAAATTACACATTAATATCTATTCAAAAACACTCCACTACAATACCATCTTGTGCCCCACTGTTGTGGAGTCCATTGTCTGTGATATA